TGCAAATCCCAGAGCTCTCCATCGAGATCCTCTCCAATTTTGCAGACAATCCCGCGTCAATCAGACGAACCATTCAATCGAGCTCGGTTTTGTATCGCTTCTTCAGTAGCGATAATGGCTCCAATATGCTGGCGCGGAGGTTGTTTGCAAAGAGGTATCCTACAATTCAGTTTCCAACCCAGGTGTACGACATGGCCCAAAGACTCACACTCAAGGATTACGAAGACTTTCATTGCCTGTTTGATACGCTGTTGACCGAGATCGGTGACCTCAAAGCACCTCACGAGCGATTCCCTAGAACAATGAACGCAGCTGGGAAGCTGGTTGATGTATTCTGCTTCAGACTGAAGGAATTTATCGACTACGAACATACACTTACCAATCTGTTGGCTACTAAGGCCATATATAACAACTCTCATTATCTTAGATGGGAGAGCATCGAACACATTCTGAGATACGTTTATACAGTCCACTTTCCATGGAGAGTGAAACTCAACTCACCATTGGAGCCCCAAATTGTTCTTCCAGACGAAATAATTGATGAGGGTACTGATGAAGAATTCGACGACTACCCACCAGCTCGCGGTTATATCACCCCTCGTATCGCAGATAATGCAGCATGTCATTTTGCAAAATTATTTAACACAAATGGTGCGTATTCGAACAATTTCATCATGGCCCTATTCCAATACAACCATTTCATTCGATACACATGGCCTCTTCGCATACTTTACATTGCCTGTCAAATCAGAAGAATTCTACAACGACCCATCGAGACTCCTGGAAGACAAACCATTCTGGAGTTATTTGAAAGAAATGGAATTGACCACCGCAGGACGGGCCTCAGTGCGTATGATTACTTCCGAATAACTCTTCCACTCGAATACCAAAGGATCAAACTCGTCAATGGACGTATGGTAAGCACCACTGACTCACCAGTGGAATATTGGCTGGCTATGCGAGAGAAGATCTTTTGGGGCTCACGTATCTACCATAGCAGAGTGGAAACCACATTGGACAAAGACATAGATTCATCGTTCATCGCAGGTGTTCAACTGGACAATGAAATGTCCGCCAAAAGTTTTTTGTTCAGACTATTCGACACGCGTGTGGTGAGTTCGATCAATGATCCCATAAATCTTGACGTCATCAATACCTTTTTCCATACACAGCCCTATTCATCACTTGGTTCTATGTTCAAATCGCCGTGGGGGTTATGGATGTCACCTTCCAACGGAACCATCTCCGGCAATCAACCAACTGAAGAAAGTGCATCGCGGCTGCGAGAGGACCGGAGAGACTTCTTATCGAGGATCCCTGACACAATGCTGAAAACCTATCACACATATGCACCTTACATCATCCTCACAATGGTAGAACGCCGGAATGTTTACGAAAATTTGACATTGAAAGCAAGGGAACGGTCGTATATTGACTTGGAGGAGTTTCGGGCCACTCTGGACAATAAATTGGTAATGAGTTCAAACCGCCAACCACTTCAATTGACAGAGCTACTTCGTAAAGAGCCCTTGTATTCTGTTGCTGCGCCGTTCAATGCTTTGTGGTATTGTAAGGACCCTACGCTTCGTAATCAATACACCGAAATGTTTTGCGAAAATATGAAACGGCTAAAAGTGTTCTGGAACAGTACACATCCGTCCATGGGGTTTCCTGATTTTGACCAAGAGCATTGGAAGCTTGATCCCGAGTACCACACTTACCAATCTGACGATGACGATTCCCAAACTGAAACCTCAAACTCAGACACAGACGATATCCAGAATACCACATACACACAATGAAACCCCTTCAGCTCATGAAATCCAACCAGCTGATTCCATCGGCACTCTGCAGAAGAGTGGCCTCGATGCCCATAAAGTAGAGCTGGTACAGCCCGTTCGTGGCGGTATTGGTGATGTTGAAGAGCAGTGCGACTTCGTCAAAGGCCCCGCAATCCAAGGCATCTTCTGCTCCGAAATCGAAGCAGTAGATTCCGCGTGTACCGTCAAAGTCTGCATAGCCCGTCTTGATGCGGGGGAAGATCTCTGGCAGCTGGTAGAATCGGGGCTTGCCGTCCAGGGTCAGTGTGACGCTGGTGAAGAGACCCGTTGCCTCTGGATTAAACTTCCAGAGCAGCTTGCGGATCACCGACCGGAACGGGAGTACCACCTTGAATGACCCCGGTGAGACCGGTACGTCATAGTAGACCCAGGTGTTGAGCAGCTGAGTCTTTTGCACATCCGGGTCATTCACTGGTGCCGTCGGCCACATGCGATACTTGAAGAAGACGGCGGCATCCTGGAAGACTGCGGTTTGTGCGGGAATCGGTGGGTCTGTCGATGTGTGTGGAGTCGGTGCCGGTCCCAGCACTCCAGATGCGGCGGTTGCCCATATCACACGGAACTTGAGCTGCATCGCCTGTACATCCGCAAAGAGGAACGGTGCATGGGGTGCTCTGATGAGAAAGCTTTGGGTGGTGGCTTGCGGGAGACTGAAATCACACAGTGGCTGGTAAAGCGTGAATCCGTCGGGAACTCGCCCGGCTGCAAGCTCATCCGCATAGTTCGTCGGCTCCAATGCCGAAACCGCTTCGAGCCACATGCCCGTCCACTGGTACAGGCGCATCGAGCCGACCCACATCTCGATCGAGTCGATTGCCCCGAACCCAGCTGCATTGGCAAAGCCACCGACGTTAACCTCGATCGTGAAATACAGCCATGTCTCCTCGAGCTGATCACCCAGCCAGGGAACGACCGCGGTCGATGTCTTGCCAAAGTCGGTCACTTCCTGGAACTCGACTCGTGAGATGTTAATGCCGCTCTTGGGTTGCCCCTGGAAGAGCGCTCGCTCTTGCGGGCCGTATGTCGTGAGCTGCGTGAGTGCGGTTGCATTCGTCGACATTGTGGGTTCTTGGTGAGGGGTAGATAGAATATTCGGGCTGGGTCTCGTGCGTCTGATGGAGGCAAGAAATGTTCTTGGCCTAGAGAAGATCACAGCCATGCCCCCGCTCCACAACGTCGACATCACCAACGATAATGCCTTCCAGCTCATTGCTCAGTATATTGAGATTGCTCAGTCCAAGGGTGCTTACAAGCTGAACGATGCATTCCAGCTCAAGAAGGCGCTCGATGCCTGTGTCAGCGCCAAGTACGAGCCATTCGGAGAGAACGACCGCAACCCACGAGAGACGGCCAAGCGTATCCTGCTTCAGGGCATCTTTGTCGGACAGAACAAGGGCGCCTTTACGATCTCAGACTCGGTGCTCCTCGCCGATCTCATCCAGTTTACTGAGCTGGACGGTGGAGAGCTATTCGGTTCAACCAGCCATGGTCACGGAAAGCAAGTCTCAAAGCACAAGGAGAGGGAGTAGCTCCACCATCAAGAGAAAACGAGACCGATCCTTTCTGTTTTGCCTCGACATGATCAAGTCCAAGAGCGAAATGAGGACTTGGTGCATTGGGCTGGGAGGTCGACGCGATCACATGACCAAGGGGGTCAGGGTGGAGATGGCATGTTTCCTCCGCCCGCCGTGCCGCCGTGCGCGGCGATCCCAAGTCCAGCGGGGGATGAAGAGCAGAGATCGCCGCACCAGGGCGGCCCTGGCGAGGGACAACCATGTCTCCCAGGATGCCGAGACTGGTGGTATAAATGGTCGCCCTCGGGGCAGAGGAGCGAGATCAGCATCGACCCAGCTCCAGCCTCAGCTTCCTGCGTTCGACCATGGCTACTCCCTTTGCTCCCCCCGCTATCCAAGCTACCCCTACTACGCCTGCTGCCCTTCCAGGTGTAGTTGTCCCAGCTGCCAGGCCTCCCGACTCTCCAATCCCCGACGTTTCCCTCAGCGACGTTCCCTTTGGTAGAAACAGCGTCACGATCGTGAAGACGCATCAGCGCTCTACTCACTGGGCGATGACGTTCGAAATGATCAATTCCGATTTTCGCCGGTCTGCCCTCAAGCAGATCACCTTTCCAGTGTTCACTGGATTTATTTGGTGTACCGAGTACATCCAGATCGCCCGTGTTTATATTTTTTTGATTCTGAAGTGCTTCCAGCACTATTTTGCCCCGATTGTTGCCGTTTTTCCCAATCTCTCTTATCTTCGCACCTTCGTTGCTACCCTCTTGAAGAAGAACAAGAAAATCCATGGCGCTGGTGACATCACTCCTTCCAATTGCCACAGGTTTGATCTTTTTGCCAATGTCTCTGACTTTGAGGCATTTTATTTGGTTTTCTGCGCTATCGTACACCCTTCGAACCCAATTGAGCAGAATCGCATCCAACAGTCCTTCGTGAATCACACTGTGGGCAAATATCGTTCCGTTGGCCCCTTCTGTTCTGCTGTAGGAATGGCGTTTTGTCTGGATTTGCGTAGGAAAGTTACCCCTTTCACCATTCCAATGTATCCATTGATTGTTTCCCCTTTTACTTGGTTTGTTCCTACCTTTTCCACGTTTGTATCCGCCTTTGTGAATGTCCCCAATGGATTCAGGGTGCTGTGCAGTGTCAATGCTTTGATGTACCGTTTCGCAATCCCCCCTGCTGTTGCTCAAACCACCCCACAGCCCATCCTCACCACCACCAACGACCACGCTTACGACAGCGACTCTGAGTACGTTCCCTCGGACACTGATTCAGCAAGCTCCTTCTGCTCTTCCGAGTCCGCCGAGTCCTCCAGCTCCACCGAGGTCGATGAACCCGCCGATTCGGTCGCTTCTGCCGAGTCCATGCAGCTGATCGACGACGAATACACCGTCGTCGACGAAGGCGTTGTTCCAGTTCAAGCCAGCATGCCCTCCAAGAATGCGGCGGCCTTTGAACACCCCAAGACCCCGACTCCTGCTGGCATCAGCGGTCCTCGCTTGATGCTCGTCGATGGCTTGGCCACTCCAATCACGCCAGCGGCCAAGAGCAACGACAAGATCAATGTCGCCCCGGTTCTTGCGACTCCCGATCCCCAGCCTGTGCCTGTGGTCGCGGCCGTTGTCGAGACAGTGATCGCTACTCCAAAGCCCGTTGTCCCTGGTGAGTGCTGCACGAACATAGCTGTTTTTCGCTCGACTGAGGACTGACGCTGATTCTTCTTTGCCACAGCACCTCCTGTTGAGCCCGCAACTCCCGATGGAGCGGCTGTCGTCTCGCTCAAGAGAGATTTCGCCGCGATGAAGGCTGTGCCTATCGGATGCTACGAATTCATGACACCAATCAGGGACACTGTGCTTGCCTCAGGCAATGACATGTCCGAATTCATGGCATGGTCCAAGGACATTGCCACAATCGACAGCAAGAATCGAGAAATCGAGAGCCAGAACAAGCAGTTCAGCTTGGATGCCTATAAGACTGTACTTGAGTGCATCAAGGGTGTCGAGGACAAGACCACCGCTTTTGGAATCCTGGACAGAGCTGAAGCCTTCATTTACGGCTCAAAGCGAACCAAGCTCAGCGACCCCGAGGACACCCAGCCAAGCCCTTCCACTCGCCCCACCACTCCCACTCCTCCATCCGCGGCCGTTGGGGTCGAGGAGCTTCCCGATGAGCAGCCAGCCGAGCATTTGTCCTTCCAGAAGCTCGACATCGAAGGTCTCAAGGCCGCTTTTGCTACTCCTGTCGACAACACCCCCGGTAACTTCAAAACCATTCCTGAGTTGATTGCGGGTGTTGATGAGTTTCGGGCGTTTTTCGATGGTATCACTCCCCAGCATAGAATGCTCTACTCGATGGACCGCTTGACCGATATGGTGATTGATTGGTTTGATGGTATAGTTGAAGATTATGGTCTCCATGATAACTTTCTTAGCAACTGGCGGGTGATCGAGTGTAAATCTTCGAAAATTTTCCCCACCTCCTATTATGCGCCTTTGCATCCTTTCATTCTCGTGCTGGTTGGTTTGTATGTTTTCAAGAGAGGGACGATTTTGACTTGGACCGAAATGCGTGGGGCCTTCTCCACTCGTGTTGCATTTTGAGTATTTATGAAATACAAATGTGGAGCGCTCGTTGGCGACTCTGTGATTTGATACGTTGCAGGGCTGTGGTAGTTTTGTCTGGGGCACCCATCGGCGACTCGTTCCTCTGTGGCGAGGCTGTGGTAGTTTTGTCTGGGGCACCCATCGGCGACTCTTTCCTCTGTGGCGAGGCTGTGGTAGTTTTGTCTGGGGCACCCATCGGCGACTCGTTCCTCTGTGGCGAGGCTGTGGTAGTTTTGTCTGGGGCACCCATCGGCGACTCTTTCTTCTGTGGCGAGGCTGTGGTAGTTTTGTCTGGGGCACCCATTGTTAGAGTCCGAAGGGGACTCAACGGCAAAAGAAGAAGTGAGCTCGAAGTGAGCTCAGGGAAGGCAAGGGTAAAGTCCGAAGTGGACTCGGAGAGGGAGCGAGGGAAGCAAAGATCCGTTCAAGATAAGACTAGTCTCGAAATGAGACGTGAGGAACACTCAGAGAATAAAGTAGAAGGCACTTTATTTAGTCCTATTTTGAACGCTGAGGTTCGACTACACATCGCGGGGGTCAGGCTATTTATAGACAAGTCCGGACTTGGCAGCGAAGGGCGGCCAAGGGAGGGAAAAGTGGGCGATCGAGCAGGGCGAAGGGGGCGATGCACGAACGAGGGCCGAGAAGGACCACCGAGACAGGCAGAGAACCAAAGCGAGGGAGGCGCAAGCAAAAGCGAAGCACCTGGCAGGAGAAACGTGCAAAGGCGAAGCAATGTGACTCAACGTCCAAGAAGCGGATTGGTCAAGTATAAGGTTGGGGCAAATGCATGCGAGATGAACAAGAGATCGGGGCGGTCAGGCAGGTCATGAGTCACCGGTGGTGGGACACATGACCGGCAGCCGAATTGCAACCAATCGCAGCAAGGCGCGTGCACAAACAAACCGGCGCGTGCGAAGAAGACAAAGGAAGCGGAGCAGCGCGGGGAAACGGAAGTGCGGAAGGAGCGGAAATGGCAGGCAAAAGGCGGAAAATTGGAGGGGAACTGCAAAGCTACACACAAACAAACAGAAAGGCAAAAGAACAGCCAAGTGTGCAGTCAAAGTGGAGAACAAGCAGAAGCTATCCCTAACATCATCCCCTTCCTTAGCGACGAACTCCGGGCGTCGCCTTCGGCTTTGAGGGATAGCGAAGGTGGAAGTCAGCAACAAGATCAGTGGCGTGGGAAACATTGGCAGCGGGCTCCCAAGACCGGTCAGTCTCGGAATAGCCCTTCCACTGAACCAAGTACTGTAAGCGACCACGGAAGAGCCGAGAATCGAGAACAGTCTCGACCTCAAACTCTTCCTGGGAGTCAACAAGAATGGGTGGAGGTTCGGGTTGGGTGAACTCGGGAACAATGTCCTTCGTTCGGGGTTCAAGGAGGGATACATGAAAGACGGGGTGGACTTTGAGTGTGGAAGGGAGTTTAAGTTCAAAGGCAACGGGGTTGATGCGGCGAAGAACTTTAAAGGGGCCAAGCTTTTTCTGATCAAGCTTGTTGGAGGGACGAAGGGTGCGGATGTGGCGACGATCAAGAAAAACGAGGTCGCCAACGGAGATGTCGGGAGTGGGGAGACGGGATTTGTTGGCCTGCAAAGTGTAGGACTCTTGGGCAACCCGGAGGTTGGCCTTGAGATCCTCGAGAACGGTCTGAAGTCGGTCGACACGTTCTTCGGCAGAGGGCACAACAGAAGGATCACGGATGATGGAGGGATCAAAAATGGGGTGATGGCCATGGACTGCAAAGAAGGGAGTCATGCCAGTGGAGGTGTTTTCCGAGTTGTTGTAAGTGAACTCGGCAAGGGGAAGGTGAAGGGTCCAGTCGTCTTGCAGGTAATTGCAATGGTGTTAGAGTCCAAAGGGGACTCAACGGCAAAAGAAGAAGTGAGCTCGAAGTGAGCTCAGGGAAAGCAAGGGTAGAGTCCGAAGTGGACTCGGAGAGGGAGCGAGGGAAGCAAAGATCCGTTCAAGATAAGACTTGTCTCGAAATGAGACGTGAGGAACACTCAGAGAATAAAGTAGAAGGCACTTTATTTAGTCCTATTTTGAACGCTAAGGTTCGACTACACATCGCGGGGGTCAGGCTATTTATAGACAAGTCCGGACTTGGCAGCGAAGGGCGGCCAAGGGAGGGAAAAGTGGGCGATCGAGCAGGGCGAAGGGGGCGATGCACGAACGAGGGCCGAGAAGGACCACCGAGACAGGCAGAGAACCAAAGCGAGAGAGGCGCAAGCAAAAGCGAAGCACCTGGCAGGAGAAACGTGCAAAGGCGAAGCAATGTGACTCAACGTCCAAGAAGCGGATTGGTCAAGTATAAGGTTGGGGCAAATGCATGCGAGATGAACAAGAGATCGGGGCGGTCAGGCAGGTCATGAGTCACCGGTGGGGGGACACATGACCGGCAGCCGAATTGCAACCAATCGCAGCAAGGCGCGTGCACAAACAAACCGGCGCGTGCGAAGAAGACAAAGGAAGCGGAGCAGCGCGGGAAAACGGAAGTGCGGAAGGAGCGGAAAAGACAGGCAAAAGGCGGAAAATCGGAGGGGAACTGCAAGGCTACACACAAACAAACAGAAAGGCAAAAGAATAGCCAAGTGTGCAGTCAAAGTGGAGAACAAGCAGAAGCTATCCCTAACATCATCCCCTTCCTTAGCGACGAACTCCGGGCGTCGCCTTCGGCTTTGAGGGATAGCGAAGGTGGAAGTCAGCAACAAGATCAGTGGCGTGGGAAACATTGGCAGCGGGCTCCCAAGACCGGTCAGTCTCGGAATAGCCCTTCCACTGAACCAAGTACTGTAAGCGACCACGGAAGAGCCGAGAATCGAGAACAGTCTCGACCTCAAACTCTTCCTGGGAGTCAACAAGAATGGGTGGAGGTTCGGGTTGGGTGAACTCGGGAACAATGTCCTTCGTTCGGGGTTCAAGGAGGGATACATGAAAGACGGGGTGGACTTTGAGTGTGGAAGGGAGTTTAAGTTCAAAGGCAACGGGGTTGATGCGGCGAAGAACTTTAAAGGGGCCAAGCTTTTTCTGATCAAGCTTGTTGGAGGGACGAAGGGTGCGGATGTGGCGACGATCAAGAAAAACGAGGTCGCCAACGGAGATGTCGGGAGTGGGGAGACGGGATTTGTTGGCCTGCAAAGTGTAGGACTCTTGGGCAACCCGGAGGTTGGCCTTGAGATCCTCGAGAACGGTCTGAAGTCGGTCGACACGTTCTTCGGCAGAGGGCACAACAGAAGGATCACGGATGATGGAGGGATCAAAAATGGGGTGATGGCCATGGACTGCAAAGAAGGGAGTCATGCCAGTGGAGGTGTTTTCCGAGTTGTTGTAAGTGAACTCGGCAAGGGGAAGGTGAAGGGTCCAGTCGTCTTGCAGGTAATTGCAATGGATACGCAAATACTGCTCGATGACCTGGTTGAGAACCTCGGTCGAACCGTCGGTCTCGGGGTGGAAGGCAGAAGAAAGGGAAATCTTCGTCTTCAGAAGCTCATTGAAGCGCCTCCAGAAGGCCGAAGTAAACTGAGTTCCTCGGTCCGAAACAATAGACCGGGGACAACCATGCAAGCGGAAGATGTGGGAGAGGAAGAGTTCGGCGGTTTGCTCGCCTGTAACCGTCTTCGTGGTGGGCACAAAGTGTGCTTGTTTGGACAGGCGGTCCTTAACCACGAAGATGGAGTCAAAGCCGTTCGAAGGTGGGAGATCCGTGATGAAGTCCATCGACAGGTCCCACCAACGTTCGGAAGGAACGGGGAGAGGGTGAAGTAAACCATAAGGGGAGTGACGGGACGGCTTGGCTCGCTGGCACGCTTCACAATTAGCAATGAAGCGACGCACAGACTTACGAAGCCGGGGCCAGTGAAAGTCCCGGGAGATGAGCTCAACGGTCTTGGCAAGACCAAAGTGACCAGCGGCAGCGGAGCAGTGACGTTGCTCAAACACTTTGAGCTGGAGCTCGGGGGAAGGGACAACGATCAGGTCTTTAAAGTAAAGGAGACCGTCACGGAAGGAGTAATCGCCATCAAGACGTTTGGCGTTGAAGTCAGAAAGAAGGGAACAAGAAAGGGTGGCAGCTCGAATCTCGGAAAGAAAATCGGGGTTCGAGCCGATAACGGTGATGCTGTCGAGAGAAATAGACTCGAACAGCTGAAGGAAGTTGGTGGAGTGGAGGGAGTCACCAGGCTTTATCTCAAAGTCAGAACGGCGACTGAGAGCATCGGCTTTGGTGTTGAGGCGACCAGGGCGGTGGTAAATGCGAAAAGCAAAATCAGAAAGGAATTGGGCCCACCGGAACTGGCGGCGAGAAAGTTGGGAAGCGGAAGTGAACCGGGTGAGGTTCTGGTGATCAGAGAAAACAAGAGTGGGATGATCGGGGTCGGCAGCCATCAAGTAATGACGCCAGGCAGTAAAGGAATCGACAATAGCAAGGAGCTCTTTGTCGTGGGTGTCATAATTCACCTCGGCGGGACGGAATTGCCGAGAGTGAAAAGCAACGGGGTGAAGAGCGCCGTCAGGGTCAAACTGGGAAAGGACGGCACCCAGAGCAAAGTCAGAAGCATCGGGCTCGATGACAGCGGGTTTGGAGGAATCAAAGTAACGAAGAATAGGTGCGGAAGTGAATGAACGTTTAAGAGAATCAAAAGCCTCTTGGGCCTCGGGAGACCAAGAGAAGGTGGAGGATTTGGTGGTGAGTGAAGTCAAAGGACGAGCAAGTGCGGAAAAGTCCTTGACGAAGCGGCGGTAAAAGTTTGCGAAACCAATAAAAACTTGGATGTCGCGAGCAGAAGAGGGAACAGGCCAAAGGGAAACGGCCTCGACCTTGGCAGGGTCCATTTTAATGCCATCGGCAGAAATGATCATGCCGAGAAAGTCAACTTCAGAAAGGTCAAAAGAACACTTGGCCGGATTGACCTTAAGAGAGTGTTCACGAAGGCGAGAAAGAACAAGCTTAACATGCTCCTCATGCTCCAGGGGATCTTTTGAGAAGATCAGGATGTCGTCAAGATAAATGACAACACAGACACCAAGGAGGTCCGAGAAGATGTCGTTCATAAAAAACTGAAAAGCAGCGGGGGCATTCGAAAGACCAAAGGGGATAACATTGTACTCGTAAGAGCCAGATTTGCAAACAAAAGCAGTCTTCCACTCATCGCCCTTCTTGACACGAACCAAGTGGTAAGCATCAGGAAGGTCAAGGTGTGA